CTTATCTGTAAAATGGTGTTAACACTTAACTTTTGAAGTCTCTCATGTGAAATGGATAAAGTAAGAGAATGTATATGTATTGTTTAGCACAATATCAGCTGTGTAGAGTTCAATAAACAGCTTCAGTGATCACACACATCCAGGGACCCAAGGACAAATTTATCCCAGATTATTTCTCATTGTGCAGATCTCTGAGGTTTAGTTAAAGATGCTTTCTTTTTGAATTTGGGGTGTGTTAGCATCTTGCAAGTAAACAGCATTTACCTTTAAAATGAATAACAACAACATTGAAACAATTGTAATGGCAACCCATTCACCCACATGCTCTCTGCTTTTTAAACTTGCAGGAGGGGAAAGTGAAACATGGGAATTGGAGACCTAGGATTCTGTTCTTTGAAGAAGCAGGTTTGCAACCAACCACAATAACCACCAGGGACATGATGGATCCAACTGCACTAGTAAGACAGTAAATCATTTCTAAATAGCTGCTTGAAATGAACCAGATTTGCAACATTGTTGTGCCCGAAGTATTTTAAGAAGAGAGGAACCCAGTTTTCATAAAATCCATAAACAGAAGAGATAGGAAGAAACAGGAAGACAGGAAGAAAACGACAAAGGCTGGGGACTTGGCATTAGGAACTGGGCCATTGCGAGGCTGGTGAAGAGAGGCTCAAGCCCAGGCCACTGTTCGCCATGAGCACACACGGACCTGCGCAGGAGCCACCAAGCCACATGATGAACATGGCACAACTCCCGGAAGTACCACCTGTACACAAACAAAGCTTGGACATTAAAGTGAGAGCTACGTGAGGGCAGGGAGCTGGGTGTGCCTGGTTTCCCATTCTACTGCTCACCCTGCTGGTCTTCAATGAGATATATTTAGAATGAATGACTCAATGAATTAGGTCACATGCCGTGGAGTACATTATGAAATTACAAATAAACCCAAGATTATCTAAGAGAAGTTCACAGTTGAGGTGAGAAGGCTGGGCCACAACTCACAGCTCCAGAGACCATGGAGCTTTCATTCATCTCCTGTGCTTTCCCCATGACGAATTCCTACATATGGTGAGACCATGCTTACTGTGTTCCTGGTACTCTTTCAAATGCTTGACATGCATTAACTCCTTTAGCCCCTTCGTCCTATGAGATCATTGTTGTTATTGTTCCCATTTCACAGATGAGAAAATAGAGGTAGATTGTCTGCTCAAGCTCCCATGGCTAGTTGTAAAAACTGTGCTTTAATTCAGCCAACATGGCTACATGCAAAACTATGTTTTTAACTGCTATAGGCTACCTGACCTCACTTTAAGGAAAAATAAGAGAATCTCTGTGGTACAGACCAGACTTTATTTTACTAGCTGTTTGCAGTTATTAGTTAATAAAAAGTAGTAACTTCATCTTTTATAATCATTAAAGGTGCTAGTAACTATCCACATTTTATGGATGAGAATCACAAGATCAGAGAAGGTAAGTGGGTTGCCCAAGATCACACAGCTCACTAAGCAGCAGTGCTGAGACTTGAACAATTTTTTGACTCCAGAGCCATTGATAATTAATCACTATATCATTTAGATAAAGAATTCCCTGGTGGCTCAGAAGGTAGAGTCTGCCTACAATGCAGGAGACCTGGGTTTGATCCCTGGGTTGGGAAGATACCCTGGAGAAGGAAACGGCAACCCACTCCAATATTCTTGCCTGGGAAATCCCATGGACGGAGGAGCCTGGTGGGCTACAGTCCATGGTGTCGCAAAGGGCCGAAAACAACTGAGCGACTTCACTTTCATCATTTAGATAAAACTAAAAATGAGGTAATTAAAAAAAAAAAAGTGGGGTTTTCATGCAACCCTCCTTCGGATACCCTATGAGCGTTAGAAAAGGGCTGTCCTCTCCCTGTGGACGCAGCTCTGAATGCAGTGTGGCTTTTGGATAATAAGTCGGGGGCTGGGTCAGGCCTTTCTCATCCTTCAGCCATCCGCCTCCCCCTTGTGCAGTGAAATCCCTGCACAGCCATACCCGACAGCCCTGTGCTCAGCTTGTGCAAGTCAGAGGAAAGAGGCACCTCATGAATCAAAAATTCTCCTTAAAGAAGTCTCTGACTGGGCCCTTGACAGCATCAAAACCAAGCCACCTGACTGACCAAAGGCCGCCTTCTCAGCACTCCCAATTAGTCCTTGGATACGGTGTTTGAGCTTTTCCCGCGCGACCGCCCTGAGGCATCTTCCCCTCACTGTCCCTGGCGATGAAGGTCACTGCCATCTAAGGAGAGCGCTCGCACTGAGGCGGGCCCTTGTTCACGAAAACCCGGGAGGCTCTCTGTGAACGCGGAACACTGACTCTGCGACGCCAGCTGGGGACCCCACAGACAACAGACAGGGTCGTTAGCCAGGCCCGCACCTAAACCCTCGCTCGGCCCTGAGCTAGCTCCTGAGGGGTCGGTCTGGGGGGGCCGTTCAGCCTCTCGTTCTCCAGCTCTTACTCCCGCAGCCGGCTGTTTCCAGTTTCTCCGATTCATGCTAGTCCCACTTCCAGGCTGCAGAACACTTCCAAGAAGAATTCTGCCCCTGTATTCTTTGTCTTGTACCCCTTCCATCTCCTAGGAAATTCTAGAACTCAGCTTCCTCCAGGAATCTCTCTTTAATACTTACAAGAGGGGCAGAAAAAGCTATGATGTTTGGCTCCTGTGAGGATAGAAGGGAGAAACCACAAGCCTGTTGTCTGTGTCAACCTTCTCACAGTTGAAGGCAGGAAACTGATGTTAAAAACTTGTGGAACTTAACAAAAAAATTAAATAATCTTACAGGAAGAAAATGAATAAGAGCAGCTTTAATTTACTGAATGCCTGCTAGGTTCTGGGCATTGTGCTAAGGATTTGTAAAGATAATCGTATTTCATTTCATACAGTCCTTAGACATCCTGGTACTATCCCCACTTTGTGGAAGAGAATCACAAGACCCTCCGAGAGGGTGAGTGGGCCGCCCAGGATGAAAACAGCAGAGTCAACAGCAGTGCTGAGGCCTAAACGGCAATTTGCTGACCCCAGAGCTCTGTATCACTGTGCTATGAAATTATGAAATGTATCATGCCTTTAGTTCCTTATGTCTGAGAATTAATAGATATTCCCATGATAGGCAGGGAAAAAGAAGAGGGAATTTACCAACAGTCTGCAGCTGGCTTGTCCTGCAGCAGCTGGACATTGTCAGCTGCTAGGTCACCTGTGGTCACCGGCAAGTCTGGCTGGACCTGGGAATTTCAGAGGGTGCCAACGTTCAATTTCTACAACAACCAGATTCCCTATACACTGAAGATGCGCCAGTCACCCCTTGGCATCCTCTGACGGACAGTACCCCCTGCCAATGCTCACGGCATCTGCCTTTTGGTGACACTTCCGAGAGCGAGGTCCTCTCAGGACTGGGGACCCTGGACCACACTTCTCAGCATGAGGCTGGATGGGCCTTCCCCCGACCCCCGCTGCCCTGTATTTGTCCAGCATTTCAATGCCTCGAGTGCGTTCCTCTATCTTCTCCTCACTGGAAACCCACAGCACTCCTGTTATTAGGTCAGCAAGTATTATCTATATTTTATGGACAAGAAACGGAGGACTGACACCTACATGGTCTTCCCAAGGTCAGTATCTCACGGTGACAGAGGAGGCTACACCCAGGGAGTCAATTCCCCAGCCAGAGCACTTGACTCTCCAGTGCAATGTTCCTCCACCCTTTGTCCTTAGGAAAGGAAGAATATGGGATTTTTTTTTTTTTAAAGGGAAGAGATGGTCATGTTGTTGAAGTGGGATTGGGATGCTCTTACATGGTGTTTTGACGAAGATGACTGCTAAGTCCAGGCCTAGAAACTGGTCCCTCCATCCTCCCCGAATCTAATCCAGGGAGACGCATGTGTGACGGGCAATGGCCTGGAAAGCAGACCCTGGTGGCTGGGCCTCATTCCCAAGTACCTGCTTTCAACTCAGTGCACTGCATCCTGCTAAGAGCCTTCCCTGAAAATGATTTGGAATTCTGTCTCCTCAAAAAATGAGCTACTACCCCCAGAGGCTTGGTCCTTAACACAGCTGTGAGAAGGGGATTCTTGGGGGTGTGGCAGAGAGGGGATAGGAGGGACCCACAGCCTACATGAGATTTGATGCTCACCCAGTATCTCCATGCAGCTACTTTGCTCTCTGAATCTTGAAGGAGTGTCAACTTCTGAAACTATCTTTTACAAATAGGCTCTTGTTTCTCCATATAAAAGCAAAGCAAGTGCATCGTAGAAAAATCAGAAAGAAAAAAACAGAAAATATCAGTGACACCAAATGCAACCACTAAGACTTTGATTTTCCTCTATCACGCTTCTTCACAAACACGTACCCATCACGATATGTGTAAACACTCCATCTGTAATGAGGACACCATATGTGCTGGTGTGTCTGTTTCATTCAGTATCTTGAAAATCTCCCGTGTAGCTAGAACTTCTTCAAAAATATTTTAAATGGTTGTAGAAAGCTTCCTTGAAAAATTGTGCCATAATTTAACCATTATACATTGCTGAATATTTAGCAACTGTTTCCATTTTAAGGATTGTGTCTGGCTATAACATCATTGTAAAAAATCTGACTGAATTTCTCCCTATTTCCTTAGGATGGATTTCTCTAAGTAGAATGAGCAGGTCCAGGGGTTTATTCTTTTTACAGTTCTTCATTATCAAGCTGGTTTCTGGAAAAACCAACATTAACGTAGAGTTTCCGGCCTCCTCTGAGATCCCCCCGGGGCCCCTTCTTGGTTTTTCATGCCCAGAGTTTTGCGCAAACCCGGAGGGCTCTACTGATGAGACAGGGGCCCTCACTGCTCTCGGTCAGGGTTCAGTGCCGCTCGGCTCCCACAGACACACGCTTAAAGTCGTGCAGCCCCCGGTTGATGAGGCACAGAAATAATGAGCTCAGTGGGAGGAAAGCAGTCTCTGAAAGACACATCTCCGTGTGGGGGTGGGCACTCGGGGGTACTCACTTGATAGGTAGCGATGGTTTCTCTGTCCAAGTTCCGTGTCACAGAGACACTACCCGTGTTCTCATTGATTCTGAAAATTCCTTTAGGCTCTTGATCCACTCCCTTTCCAGTGAGCCGGAACTTGGACCCTTCCGGTCTGTCACTATCCACTACCTGGTCAGAGAAACAGAGTGACATTTACAATTCTGGCTGGAAAACACAGACAAAGCACAGGGCCAACACACTGCAGTGACCAGTCCCCTAGGCACAGGTGCTAATGCAGAGGTGCTGGATGAACTTGACTAAAGCAGCATCACCAGAAGTAGTGTCATTGGTTTAACACCTTTCAGCCTAACATGCAAATCTCTGCAGTTTTCAGCTGGGAAAGCGTACCAGCCAGAGGGTGACATATAGTGATGGATCTGGGAGGGAAGTAACTTTATGAACTTCAAGGTTGGACATTTATGTTATCTTTAACTCCTGGGAAACAGACTTCTTCCTACAAGTAAGACCAAGTAAGCAATGGAAAACACTAGACAGTCCTATACTAGGCAGGCATTAATCAGGATTCTAGCTAGGTGTTCACATGAGTCCAGTCACCAGCAGCACCACCTACACCCTTGCTTCTACCAGGTATTCAATACCAGGCATGGTGCTGAGAAGGCATTTTACACGCACTTTTTTTTTAAACTCTGACAACAATGCTGGGGGCAGGGAACGTTATTATTCATACTTAATGAATGAAATCAATGAGACTCAAAGAGATTAAGCAAGTTTGCCACAGTCACAGTTATTAAAGAAACAAGGAGGGTATTCAGAACCCATCTTCCATGTCTCTAGAGGCACAACTCTGCAACATCGCTGTGTCTGGATTTACTTCAAGGGAATTCCCTATTGGTGATCAGCTTGATTAGACATTTAAAGAATAAATTGAAAAGGTAAAGATATAGGAAAGCAATTTCAGGCAGACATAGCAACATAGACAGGCAACAGGCAGGTGAGAGAGCTTAGAAAATTCCAGAATGGTTTGAGAAGAGGTGAGGTTGAGAGGTAATTAGGAGCCAAACTATGTTGCTTTGTTTTGATGTCATCTGAAAGTATCCAACTAAAGAGAAAACCATTATTTGCATAGGTTAGTTCTAAAGTTTTACCAAGTATTCATGTATATGTAATGTCAATTTTCCATAGATACCTGCAAACATTTTTGATTATAACATTTTAAAGGTCACAAACATAATAGACATTCAGAACATACCGATAAAAGAAAGCTAATACTGATCTGGCTGTCATCAGTTTACAACTAAACAGGTACCTATTGGGCTGTAGTCAACTGAGCTTGGAGGGTTTAGGTGGCTGAACCAGAAACGTGCCTTCTAGTGGAATGAGGAAGAGGTGTGGTGGTGGGGGCGAGGGCGCTTTTCTGGCATCACCATGCCTGCAATTCTGATGGGCGCCACCAGGTGGCAGTGGCGTCTAAGGCGGCATGAGCCTCACGATCAGGTTCCTCTGCCAGGACTGGTGGAGCAGGAGCACAGTTCCATATGGCAGTACAGTTTTTCCTTTTTTTCCCCCCAATTTAAGATATTCTTTATTAAAATACACTGAGTGTTCTGATTAAACATCAATTACCTCTGTTTGCATTTTTTAAATTAACAGAAAATATCATCCAAAGCAAGACTAAAAATAAGGTTTGTGATATCTTCTGATGAAAAGAATTTTCACTGTCACTGCTTGACTAGATTTAATCCAAATGACATTATCTCCACTGCTTGGAAGCTCCACGAGGTCAACAGCCTCAGCATATCGGGCTCGCCACTGGATCCCAGTGCCTGGCAAAGTGCCTGGCATACAGTGGAACCAAGGCCAATATCTGTTTAATGAGGAGCTCACTGATTAGACAAACATATGTCCCCATCCTGGCTCGGCCAATGATCAGCCTGTGGTCCTGAATGTCATTTTTTGCCTCTTTGGCTCTTGATTTCCTTATCTGTAAAATGAGGATAATGCCACTTATTTCCCAGGGTTGGATGAGATAGCGTGTGCAAAATTCATTCCCGGCACATAGAAGGCGCTCAATAAACCGAGTTAACAATTAGAGTATTAAGATGAGACATGGGTTCGATCCCCGATCTGGGAAGATCCTCTAGAGTAGGAAACGGCAACCCACCCAGTATTCTTGCCTGGAAAATCCTGTTGCTAGAGGACCCTGACAGGCTACAGTCCACGGGGTCGCAAAGAGTTGGAGACGACTAAGGGACTGAACAACAGCAACAAATTAGGCTGTTGTTAACAGGTAAGACTGACACCTCCAGGCATAAAACATAACTTAGCTACAATTTTTTTTAAAAATTCCTTTCTAAGGGAGCACATTTCCTTTTCAAAAACAAAACTCACAAAACTCTCTGGTTTCAGGAGAGAAGTGTTCTGGAGGCAGATTTACTGTAGGAATGGGCCAATTCTGTTTCTTTATCTCTTACATATTTGCCGTTGTCCCCCTCCCTCTCTTACCACTTTGGCCCAAATGTGGATTAAAACCTTTTGCTACTCTACACATGAACTGGTCCTGTCCAAAGACTTCTGTTGGAAAAAAAGGCTGGATCTCTTTGCTATCTCCCTTCCAGACTTATTTTAAACACAAAACACTATTAGGAACTCTTAAAAACCTGTTTTCTAGAAAGCCAGTAAAGCAAAGTTGGCATTCCTCCAAGTCCCCCACTTCCATGAGTTTCAAAGGCACTCCAGGGCTTGGAGAAACCTTGGAGAATAAAGCATGGAAGTGGGTGTCATTCACCAGGGAAAAGATGGGAGTCTGGGCTCAATTTAGATTTAGGAATTACCCACCAGCTCTCTGGCTTCTTAGTCCCCAGGTGGGGCTTCAGAGAGATCGTGGCCCACTCCAGCCTGAGCTGGAGAGATAGGAGGTATGCAATGGCCACAAAGGAGGCCTCAGCCACACACCAAAGCAAGTCAGGTGCGTTTCCAGACGACCTTTATTATACTGGGTAAACTCCTAAGATTTGTCCAAGTGCTACTGCAGGGCTGTGGTCCCTAAGGCTGAGGTCCTTTTCCTGGTGTTTAAAGTGATGGAATGTAAGAAATCCAGTGCACTCCTGCCCAGAACAAATCCTGTCATGAGTCTCTGCTCCTGCAGCAGCTGTTAACACCCATTATACCGCATAGGAGGGCTTCACAATTAGCTGGTCTTTCCTATTATTCTTTGTAACTCAACACTTCTTTTCACAGTGGGGTTTTTTTTTTTTTTCCTCCTTATTCTCTGAGTTGGAATGAAAAAAATAGCTAGTGATGCCAAAGAACTTGGACCCTGGGTGCCAACTCTCTGAGAAGTGTGTGTAAATAGCATACAGGTCCTGCTGCATACCTGGGTAAAGCCACTTCTCCAGCAGCAGTGGGGGCCGTTGGCATGCTGGCTGTGCCAGGAGTGGGGGGCATGGCTCAGGCGGCACCAGAGTCCTCTGCACCCTGCAAGGGGCAGGGAGTGCAGGGGCTTGGAGCAGCCAGTGCTGCTTGCTCTGAGCTTCAAAGGGCATCCTCATTGCCTACTTCCTACAGAGTGTGGTGCATTACAGACAAAGCTAGAGCCCCCTAGGAATCCCATTCCCACATCCATTCTCTGTTGCAAGGGGCCAATGACACCAAGTCATATGTGTTTTAAAGATACTCTGTGAATTTATATACACATTTATGTGCTCATAGACTATACAGCAATTTTGAATGTTTTTACATTGAGAGGATCATTTTGTATCAGTTCAGTTCAGTTGTTCAGTTGTGTCTGACTCTTTGCGACCCCATGGACTGCAGCACTCCAGGCCTCCCTGTCCATCACCAACTCCCGGAGTTTACTCAAATTCACACCCATTGAGTCAGTGATGCCATCCAACAATCTCACCCTCTGTCATCCCCTTCTCCTCCCGCCTTCAATCTTTCCCGGCATCAGGGTCTTTTTAAATGAGTTGGTTCATCAGGTGGCCAAAGTATTGAAGTTTCAGCTTCAGCATCAGTCCTTCCAATGAATATTCAGGACTGATCTCCTTTAGGATGGACTGGTTGGATCTCCTAGCTGTCCAAGGGACTCTCAAGAGTGTTCTCGAACACCACAGTTCAAAAGCATCAATGCTTTGGTGCTCAGTTTTCTTTATAGTCCAACTCTCATATCCATACATGGCTACTGGAAAAACAATAGCCTTCACTAGACGGGCTTTGTTGGCAAAGTAATGTCTCTGCTTTTTAACATGCTGTCTAGGTTGGTCATAACTTTTCTTCCAAGCAGGAAGTGTCTTTTAATTTCATGCCTGCAGTCACCATCTACAGTGATTTTGGAGCCCCCCAAAATAACATCTGTCACTGTTTCCCCATCTATTTACCTTGATGGTAAATAGCTTGATAGCTGTGAAAAGAAGAGAAGCGAAAAGCAAAGGAGAAAAGGAAATATCTTCCCATTTGAATGCAGAGTCCCAAAGAATGGCAAGGAGAGATAAGAAAGCCTTCCTAAGCAACCAATGCAAAGAAATAGAGGAAAACAACAGAATGGGAAAGACTAGAGATCTCTTTAAGAAAATTAGAGATACCAAGGGAACATTTCATGCAAAGATGCGTTCGATATAGGACAGAAATGGTATGGACCTAACAGAAGCAGAAGATATTAAGAAGAGGTGGAAAGAATACACAGAAAAACTGTACAAAAAAAGATCTTCATGACCCAGATAATCACGGTGGTGTGATCACTCACCTAGAGCCAGACATCCTGGAATGTGAAGTCAAGTGGGCCTTAGAAAGCATCACTACAAACAAAGCTAGTGGATGTGATGGAATTCCAGTTGAGCTATTTCAAATCCTGAAAGATGATGCTGTGAAAGTGCTTCAATCAATATGCCAGCAAATTTGGAAAACTCAGCAGTGGCCACAGAACTGGAAAAGGTCAGTTTTCACTTCAATCCCCCAAAAAGACAATCCAAAGAATGCTCAAACTACCACACAATTGCACTCATCTCATACGCTAGTAAAGTAATGCTCAAAATTCTCCAAGCCAGACTTCAGCAGTATGTGAACTGCGAACTTCCAGATGTTCAAGCTCGTTTTAGAAAAGGCAGAGGAACCAGAGATCAAATTGCCAACATCTGCTGGATCATCGAAAAAGCAAGAGAGTTTCAGAAAAA